GTTTTGCATAATACATTCTGAATATTATCAATACTAAACATACGACAATTGTATTCAATAAGTTGAGTCATTTTTGGTGTCTATGACAATAGATTGGCTATTTTGAAGCAATTGTAGAAAACTTTGTTGGGAAAGGCTCTCAAGTCATGAAAAAGTCCGTATTGGAGAAACAGAAAACTCTATATGACACCAGAAAGAGCTTTGTCTTTGTTCCAATTGTTTTAGAATCTCACATTCTTTCTTCTCCTCTACGTATGAATGGAATATTTGTTGAAATTGAAACGTTTCTAAAATGTTTCGATTTTTCAGCATAGTCTCACAATGGATGACTTCAAAAGACTGTTGGATCAGTTTGTTACCAAAATAAATCGCTATGGAAGCTTGAGACACGTTGATAATGACTCAATTTGAGCAATCGAAAGTTATACAACAAAAAACTTTTTATTCAAAATAAAATGCAAGGCTTAAACTATGGTATCTTACTTCTCAACTTTGGAAACTGTGAAGGTTCTAAAACAAACCTTCATCAGCCAGAGACCCGATGTGATTGGGTGAGCACCCAAGTTTCCATAACCAAGCATAAACTTTACCTTTCTGAAAGGTAGAATGAGTCTTCAACTAGATTAGGTTTGATAGAACCACAAGTTGGCGGACAAAAGGTTGTAGATTGTTGTGCAAACTTCAAAGATGTAATGATGATGGAACTTGGTTGAATCGATCGAAAGCTGCTTGGTTTTCATATTAACAGAATAAGAAATATTTTACTAGAATCTTTTGGTTGGAATTGTAAGTTTGTAATACGTTGAACCCTTTAGAGGAGTGGCTATTTGACAAATAGTAAAGGAGAAAGAAATGTAGTCAGATTGAAAAGTTTTGGTAGATCCTGCACCATCAATCGTTTTCAAACAGTTATCTTTCGCAATGATTTAGACAAAAGGTATGTTTCTAGTACCTGGAAAATGTTGTTTGGAAGGAACTTTGCTGAGATGTGGAATGCCCTGGCAGATAGTATTGTTGCAAAAGATTACTATCACATATTCAAATAGGTAGTTAGTTATGTATTCTTATCACATTGACATTGTTGCAAGATATTGTATAATTCCATTGCAGTATGTTGTCCACATAGGAATGCTTCATTTTGAGTCATTGGCTCTACACTCAAACGTACCTGACTTTGAGTCATCCAGAAACTTTCTTGTGACTACTACTCTCCTCAGGGAATGTTAGATTGAGTTTTTACTATGGCTACTCCGGTATATTTTGATATATGCAATATTTGGATAGTTAACAAACACAAAAAGTTATAACCTCAAACTTTGCCATTCATTGACTGGGTCTACACACAAGTGCCAAGGATTATATCGAGTCATTGAGTATTAGAAAACATACAAATAGGGACACAATTTACGGGGTAAAGTTTAGAGTACTGTTAAAGTCAAGGAGCTCATAGAGAGAGTATCTCAAACGGTTGCTCAAAGATTGAAAGTTGCAAAGATCGTCCCTTTCCAGATTCAACCCTATAGTTCTCTTCAAATGAAAGCCAACAGTGAAAAGTTGTAAGAGTATTCGTTAATAGCACTGTTGGATAATTTATGTTTCTAGTTTCCAAAAAAAGAAGAAGAAGCAGAGCAGTCTTTCTATTACAAGAGCTTAAGTTCCATTGTTTCCTAATTTTTTGTTTTAAAATTATCCATTCGAAGAACCCACCACTTGTCATCATAACAAGGTAAATGTCCATCGGCAATCTTACCTAATTATACAGTATTAAAAAGAATGAGACTGTATGCCGATTTGAACAACGCTATGTGTACGATTGCAATCTTGCTTTAGCAATGTTATCTTTTTTTGCAAGAGTTTGCTAAATGGGAATGTTTTAAAATCATCTATAAAAAGAATTGTAAAAGGATTGCTCAGATGTTTCTGCTATGATGAGAAACACTGAAATGTAAACTCCTTTCTGTTATAATAGTTTTTTTTGGGCATAGAGACTTTACTGATTTTTGGTACTCTTATAAACCAAAAGTTTGTACACTTTTTAACCTTTTTGTTATTTGTCCATTTTTTGGAAATGTCTCTTTAACAGCTAAAATACTCCTATAGTCAGCATCACCTTGCTTTTTCGGTAGAAACTTTTATCATTTATGTAAAACGATACAACAAAACGACTGGGTAAGATGACTATTGAAATTTTTCTTTTGGTAGAATTCGTGATAAATGAATTAACGATCATCTATAAGGGAATAGATATGAGACATTGAGACAAACTATATAAATACCTATCTACAAGGTGTATCAAAACAACAATGTCTAGGAAAATCAATCATAGCAAGGAGCAATCTATCTCTGGTCAGAATCTTCTTTAAACGCTCCGTCAACTTATTAACGAGCGTCCTAATTATCTAATAATATGACCCTTTTAAAGGAGCAATTCAAAGGCAAATAATAAAGACAACTATGACAGATGGGTAGAACTAGTCCCTGGATTTCTTTTGCATGCTATTCTGAGAAATGTCTTTTATGTTCCAAATCTGATCACAAACCTACAATTCGTCTCTTTAAAAAGAGTATCTTCCTAAATGAAAACGGACATAACTAAAGTGCCCAAAAATAAAAGGAATAGGATTCGACTAAGAATCTAGTTAAGGTTCCTACAAACTATCTTGAAAATGTGAACCCAAGGGCTGATATCGACAAGAGCCTAAAGGACCAAGATTCTGACTGCAGATATGCACGAAAAATATTCTAAAACGACACTCAATAAAAATCTGCTGATTTACGAGAGAGATGAAAGGTTCACGACCTTGAGTTGTTTGGAATCCGTTGCCTTGGTTATCTCCTCGAAACACAAACAGCGAATTTCCACGGAATACCAGAGTTTAAACAACGATATCTCTTGAATGGAATATATAAAAGTAACAGAGGTATTCAATATTGGACAATCCAAAAAGACAATACAAGCCAAGTGGAGCTCAACGTCTCAAAGGAAAAGGTGGGACTGTTACAATAGAAACAATTCAAAGCTTGAAATATGTTCAAAGAGAGGTTTAGATTCCGAAATTTCATTTTTATAACTTTAAACCCTCGATAGGTTTGAAGTGGCTAAAGTGTCATAAACCAACTTAACGATATCCAAAGTAACTGTATAGCCGCCCTGGAAACTCTTGAAAAACATTATCAATTTGTCCAATTTACAATTTGTGTTTAGGTCATTCGTTGTTGAAAGTTTCGAGTTGTATCAGTCTTTGAATAATGCAAACAATATACCGCTTAAAAGAACCACAAATTGACAGGGAAGAGGACGTCAGGACAATTATACAGACGTTTCTTTTTCAGTTCTCGGAGAAGGCGTACGGTGGGCCTTCGTTCAATCGCCCGGCTTGCTGTTTTGCGCCGCATATTTATGGAGCCGGCAAAACATTTGTAGGCCAAAACTTTTTGGCCTATTTGAATATTTTTGCAGAGCGTGAGTGTTCCAATGCACAGACTTTTCAACAACTACACAGTTCAAACGATAACCCCCAACCGAGTGAGTTGAAAGTGCCTTGGAAACACTTTGCGGAAAACACTTTGTCAGTTATCTTAGAACTAGGAGAGAGCTTTTCTGGTGCTCCTTTTCCAAGTTTTCTAGAGGCTTTGATGTATAACATAGCTATGGCTACAGCCGAGTGTAATGGTATGAGTGCCCGAGAAATTGTAGAATTCACGGACGCAGCGATGAAGCAACCTAGTGTTTCTTTATTTTTCCAGTATCTTCTCGAACAGTTTCAGAAACAATATTTATTTTTGATGATAGACGAACTTAGCCACCTGAGTGACCTCACCAAATACTATAGTGAACTTACCACGAAACAGTTCGTCGAGCCCGATCCAGAATATGTACCTTTCCGGAATTTCTTCCGTATTTTACGTGATTTGTTGATTACAGGGAAGGTAATTGTCTATTTGGCAGGCAGGACATCTCAAATCTCAGCCCGTATGTCTGATGCTCGCTCCAGTAGCATGAGCCTCGATATGTTGCGATTGAATCCTTTTAACCTCAACGATATTAATGAATATCTTGAGCTGGCAATTTATAGTGGAAAGACCTTGAAGGACTGGTTATTGCCCTCAGATGGCTTGCAACATCGATTCGCAGAATTATTAAAAAAGAAGACAGGAGGTATTCCGTTGATTTTAAAGAATACTTTAGTAGCCCTAGCAGAGAAAGCTGCAGACTTGTCGCAACCTGTTATCAACGATGACAATATGGAAAGTGTGTTAGATGATATTTTTCACTCTGTAGTACGAAAGACAACAACGTTTATTGTTCCGGAGATATTAGATTCTGCAACCCTTCTTCGATATCAATTTGTTCTTTTCAATTATCAGCTCGGGACAGTTTTTCCAATCAACTTTGCAATTGCTCTATGTGGAACGAGAACTTATTTGATGGATTTGGTTGCAACTTTTGGGTTTTACTCTGAAGTTTTGGGCGAGGAATTCGAGATTGGTTGTTGTGAGTTTATATTGCGAGCTCATAGCAACTATAAATTTTTCCGTGAGGCTACTGAACTTTTTCCTTTATCTCCGTTTAGTTATATTCCCGACACTTCAACAGCAAAAGGAGTCTTCTTTGAATTTGTATTTATGAAGATCTTTCGTTTTCGCTTATTAACTTTTCTTCATTCTAATTCCTCGCCTATTGTGCATTCTGCTATTCCAGGAATTTTCCAGGGTTCTTTTATTGAACAGGACAATGTTTCTTATTCTATGGAATCAACAAAATCTTATGATATACCCATCTTGAGAAATGTCTCTGGTTCATTTTCTGTTCATTATGGAGATTATTTACAACGTTGTGGTATTTTTGTTCCGAAAGATGGCGATTCGAGTGGTCCTGATGCATATGTTGTATTCCATAATGGACAAACACGTTATGTTGTTGGATTTTCATTCAAATTTTATCACAAAACTGAATTTTCGAAAACAAATATTGAGGAAGAAGCCAAAAAATTTTTTAAGGGAGTTGTTTCCGTTTTGAATGACGAATCTTTTTCATCTGTTCAACTTCGTTTTCAGTTTGTGGTAGTATGTACTAGATATGATCGATCTGTAGGTTTCTCTACCGAAGAACATAATATTGTTGAAGATGCAAGTGGTTTGGTGACTCAACATTCTTCGGGATCAACTTTGAATGAAAGTAGTCGATCATGTCTGCAATTGGTAATTGTTTCTCAAAGGAACCTTGAAATGTATTTGGGAAGAGATAATGTCGAAACATTGAGGAAAATTGGGGAAGCAAACCGAGGAGAGTTTTCTAAAGACTTTTCAGTATGGTGTAAAACTCTCTTTGAGTCGATGTCCAATGAATATGTTTCATCTTTGGAAACGGAGCAATCAAATGTTACTTCAAGAGTGACTCGAAATATAAGACCGAGAACAAATGAGGAGAATAGGATGCAAATGGAAGAGCTTCAAACTGCTATGCAAGTGGAACGAAGTGTCGCAGCATCGAGTTCTTTGTCTTCGTCATTTGATTGGAATACTTTCCTAAGAGACCGTTGTGGTCTTTCTGAAGAGGATGTTGCCTATTCTTTGCCTAAGCTGTCCTTCATAGGAGTAAGAGATTTTGATGGCGTTACGACAGATTTTCTTTCCGATTGTGGTATCGATAGTCCTTCACTAAGATTGCGAATTATGTTAGGAATACGACAGTTTTTAGCAAAGTAGCTTTTATGGACTAGTTTGTGGTATGCCCATGATTTCCCTGTAGAAGATGATGGAAGCCTTATAGAAGTCGTAGTCCTAATAAAGACATGTAATTTTTGTTTTTATCTCACTGCAAAGTCATTACGTGCTTAGTAACTTGAGATATCTTACCAATATGCTCGAATGCCAATGTTAGTTACGCTTCGAGAGAAGAATGACTTTGACAAGGTCTTCTGCTTTAACATTGAAATACCAATCTATATAGAGGAACCTGAAAAGTTATTGATAAACTATTTAATAGAAGGCTGTAAATTAGCTGGTACAAAGCTAGCTTGCAAACAGTAAAAGAAGCTCAAGCTTATCTGAAGAAATTGCCACCATCTTTGTAGATGAATCTGAATAAAGAACAACTACAAAGAAGCTTCTTGCTTCATGTGGCTGTGGAGCCTGTACAGTGTGGATATGGACTGTTCAACCCCTGTCACAAGAACTTGATAGTTATACAATCAACGCTTTTTTTAACTTAAGCTATGGTAGATGCCTGTTATGTAGTAACAGTGGAAGGAGTTGCAAGTCGTATAAAGGTGAATGGCATCCTACTCAAAAGTTACATGTCCAATACAACGGTTCACAATGTGATTATTGTATTCTGGGAATCCTAAAGTCTATGTTTGGAGAAAAACAAATTTTTCCAAACAAGTGTTAGGTATCAAACAAATAAAGTCTTGTTTTGATGGCAATTTTTGTTTATTTTCGACGCCTTTTGGAGTTATGTCCAAGCAAAAGAAACTTTCTGCATAAAAGAAAGTATTCCTATTCCTGAAGATGCACTACAGCTCATTTTCCTAAAAAGAAGAAGAAAACTTCGAGTGTGGATATCTCAGCAACAACCATATTGTAACTTGTCAATATACATACGCAAGACACCAGCTGTTCCTAACAGATCGGAATCGATATCAAGATGAAAGTAAAGTATGTAATGGAACCTATCAAAGTCAAATATTCAAAAGTGAGATATTATAACATCATAAAAGATGGAATTGTCTTATTTTTTTAAATGATGCACAAGAATTGCTTCTTGTAGATGATACAAAGTCGAAAATGGATGGTCCATTGAAGCTGCCGTATCCTTAAGTACATCATTGGATCGTATTCAACAATTGGAAGAAAATCAGCTCCAATTTCGAACGTTTTGTAAGTCAAATTAGAAGTGTTTCTTGTTTAGGTGGAAATATAACTACTGAGAGTCCTATTTCAGATATCAATCCGTAGCTGGTTGCTATCGACGGGAAATTGAGATTGATATCTTGTAAACACGGTACCTTTACAGAGGCAAAAGCTAAAGGTTTCTTCTTGGTTATCGAAGTACTTTGCTGAAAGAAGAGACTTGCTAGTGCAAGTTCTGATTCCTTTTACGAAGAGGAATATCTCATGAGACTATCGAAAGAAAAACCTTTACTTTGAAAAATGTAGAAAGCTACTGAGACAGTAAGTAACCTATCTCATAGGATTGTCGTGAGAAGAAAACAAAACTACTAGAAGGAATGTGCTTTCTATTCCCAAGTGATACTAAAAGCAAGCGAAGATTGTTAGTATCGGTAGAACTCAACTTTGCAGTATAAAATGTAGACTTATTGGAACCGAATTCTGTTAAAGTATAAGAATTTAGTGTTGGTGGTAATAGCGTTCGTTTGTTTTCGATTTTCAAGTTTTCATTTATTGACCTTGTAAACTTGTCAGAATTTCTCGAAAATGCAAAATAAGAGTGAATCATTTTGAACTAAAAACACTCTGTTTTCTTGTGGTGTTCATGAAATAATTCTTGTAGACTATCTATACAAATGGACATTATTTGTTGCAAGTAATTGCAAAGAAAAGATTCCAGTGTGAGAAACAATGAAACTTGTCATTTGAATAAAATAATCTTTCTATACAAATAAACGTTACAATTTCATTATATAACCAAAGCATTTCTTAATATATCATTTGAGAAAGAAATTGTATACAATGTCCATTGAAAAGAAACTTGAGCGCTACTAAAGGCCAGTCGAAAGTTTACAATATGAGTAAACTATTTTTTTGAATAGAAATTTTGTCACAATATACTAAAAACTTTTCTACAATATGTAATAAGCATGCTAGGATTTGATGAATAGTCATCTTTTAGATGAGATGTACTCTAGGTCGCTACTGATTTGAGAACGTCCTAGCTGATGGAGTATTTGAACATTTTCAGGGGGTTTTGTAACAAAATCGAATCATTCTATTAAGAAAGTTCTTGAAGGGAGCCAAGTTTGTCTTGAGACTTGTTTTCATTATCATAAAAACAAGAGTAAAACATCTGACATCTAAAAAGAATGAAAGACCTCAACTGATGGACGCTTTGATAGATATTCGAGCTTTAAACTTGTTTCATTTGTTAATATTCCATAGCATCACTTGTTATATTCAATGATAAATACTAATAAACGCTATTCGGTCGACTATTCTCTCTTTCTCTTTCTCTCTTTCTCTTTTTAACTTGGGTCCTCTACCAATTACACTTGTTTCTAATAGGGTTTGAAGTCTAACTGACTTCCATATTCAAGTGAGGAAATGCATCTTTCCAAAGCAGTAGTCAGTATATGCGTTTTGGCTCTTATTGATTGTATTCTGTAAACAGCTGGGTAGAAACCACAGCCAAGTAAACTGTGTATGATTCTAGAAACTAACTTTTACATAGCACAGAAGAGGACTTTTCTACAAGAACTCATTGAAGAGAATAGAATAACAGCGCCACTTGTCGACGGTAATAATTGCTTCAAGGCTCTCCGTGAGTGGAAGCTGAAATACAACAACCAAGTCAACACTTTTGTCGGTTGAAACTTGCCAATTCAAAGTGCTCTGTCTCATTGGATCGTTGAAGAATTCTCATTGTAGTGAGTTGGTATTACATGAAGAGTTGTTTCAAAAGTGCCACCTCTGAAAAACATATTTTCACAACTTGCATTATTTCAAAACAGCTATCACTACATCGACTATCTATTGTAACTTTTATTGAACTGGCTGATAAGTTAATTTAGCATACAAGAGGAACAAAAAGGTCACTATACGAAACCAACTTTTGCAGACTCCAATCCCTCTTCGGTTAGTTATCTTGAGAATAATACATTCAACGTATTCCATTGATCAGAAACACATCAGCTTTTGTTTCTTTATAAAAACTCAGCATTTTTGTACCAAAACTAGAAGATTCAAAACGGTGAAGAAGCAATTGGGATAACTAAGCTCTTCCAATTTTCCCATTGAAAAATTGCACTTGGAAAGCGTCGTCGACGACTTTAGGAAAAGTTGTTATTCACTCTATCCCTTTTGTCACAATGGTAGTATGACTTTTAACGCCATAAGAAATTTTTCTAAATTTTTTAATAGAAAGCTTGGCTTCACCAATATAGCGTTGTTGGAAGAAAAATACCGACTCAAGAGGAACCTGAACCGCCTATTTACCGCCTTAAGATCTTCGCGCCCAACGTCGTCAACGCCAAGTCTCGTTTCTGGTACTTTTTACGTAAACTTAAACGAGTAAAGAAATCTTCGGGTGAAATTTTGAACATCAGTGAAATATTTGAGAAAAAGTCTACTCAAGTCAAGAATTACGGAATTTGGATAAGATACAAATCGAGGTCAGATACTATCAATATGTATAGAGAGTATCGGGACGTGACAGTGAACGGTGCTGTAGAACAAATGTACAAGGATATGAGTGGTCGTCATCGTGCCCGTTGGAGTTCCATTTGGGTACTTAAAGCTATGCCAGTTGCAGCAAAAGATTGTAGGCGTTCGAAGGTCACCCAATTCCATGACAGTAAGATCAAGTTTGCTTTACCTCATATGCGTCCAAGAGCTCCACTGAAGAAATACAATACACCATTTAAAGCAAAGAGACCAACAACTATAGTACAATAAAGAATTCGTTTTGTGGAATTGTTGATGCAAAATTGTTTCTCGAGTAGGGAATTGCTATTGGAACGCTTAGAAGAACGAAAATATTGCCTACAAGAGATCATATCCAAATGTCTACAAGATAAAGACTTGAAGTATCAGTTTTCAAAGTCTGCTGCACAAATAATTGAGAGACTTGAAGACTCTTCCAAGACAAGTGACCAAAGACCTCTGTCCACTTTTTGTATTCCTTCAGAGTCTATTCTTTTCATACCCAAAGAACTTTGGGAAGAATCCAACGTGGAAGAGAGTAGCGTTAGACGTAAATTAAAAGTCTTTCAAGTATCACACCTGAAGCTGTCAAGTAATCATTTGGTCGTAGCGGGTGAAAGTTGGGTTTCGTTTTGGTCATTGCCTTCAAAAGATAATTCAGATGTACTACCTCATTGTGCCAATTTGAAGTGGCTGGAACCCCACTTGAAAGTAATCAATTTGGTTTTGTCACAAGACGGAAGGTATCTATTGATTCAAGCTTGTGAAAAGGTTGAACACACTCGTTGGGCGACTGGGGAACTGACCGAGTCTTCTAGTGTTGTACTTTGTAACTTATTGTTCTCTTTAGAAGATTATTCTTTGGAAAAGTCATTTAACTTGTTGCTCCCTGTAGAATGTCTTAGACAAAAAGTGAAACAGTGGAGTGTACTATTATCCTGTCGTCAAG